ATTTAATTAAAATTTTTAAGAATATTTTCATTTTTCGCGGAATTCATTTAAAATAGTAATAAAAATAATTGAAATTCTTCGAAGAGTTTTATTATTTATGAAAATAATTGAATTTGTGTGAAATGTTTACAATTTTATTAAAATTTTTATAAAAGAATTGAATTCCTTTTGGGAAATTTTATTAAAATAGTAGATATTGAAAATCATTGAAATTAGAAAAATGCATTTTATTTTTGACAATAATTGAAATTAGGAAAAGAATTTTTTTGTTGACATTTATGAAAATTATTGAACTTTGGAGCAAATTTCTTTTTGGAGCAAAAAATAAAAAAGTTTATTCGGTTTTTGAGGAAAGAAAGAGAAAAATCTCGTTTACTCTCTTTTTCTCTTATTATTCAGAGAGAATGAAGGGAAATAGGGATAAAAAAAAAATTCGCATTCTGAATCACAAGTGTACATTTATACGCATAATACATTTTCCATGTGGGTGTATTGTGTATCGATTGGCGAGCATAAAGTGCATAAACATCGTGGTTTTAGTGTGGCAGATTGGAGAGACCGCTTCTCCGATGTAACTATTATATTCGTGCGAGTTTTGTCTGCTCGTTGAAGTCTCTCTCTCTCTCTCTCTCTTACTCTCTTTCGCCCACGTGTATTTCCGCCCTCATGGTTGCGTGTACTGCGAGTTTGACCATAACATGAGACATATAAGAGAGTCTGGGCATACACACACGATGTGCGAAACTCGTCTCATCAACTTTTTTTTTTTCCTCCTTTTTTTTCAACCGTGTACGCATCTCTGCACTAGTGCGCAATGATATGGGGAAAGTAGGAAAACAATCTTTTTTTTATGACCTTATAGAGAAATTAGGTTTTAGATGAATCCATTCACTTTATAGATAACTGGAGAGAGATAAGGCCAAGTGCCGAGCAATGTTGGAATGTCTACATAAATACTCGCGTTTTGAGTCAAAAAAAAAAAATTGTACTTTTTTCATTAGGATTTGTACTCACAAGGTGACTTTATAGTTTGTGATTTCTTTTCTACCCTAATTTTCAAGTGAAAATCCCTTATGAAAAAAAGCAGGCCTCGCACTCATCTACTAAAACCTATTTACTACTTTTTTTACGATTTTCAAAAATTTTAATAAAGTTTCTAGAAAAAATTTTAAATGAAATTCTTTAAAACAATTCAATTCTTTTCACAAATTTTTCGTAATTCAATGATAATATAATATTTACTATTTTAATAAAAAATTTTCCAAAAGAATTTAATTATTTTTAAAAATAAAAAAATGTTCACAGGAATTCAATTATTTAAAACAGAATTTGATATCCTTAGAAAAACTGAATAAATATAATAATATAAATAAATAATAAATAAAATAAAAAAATAAAATAAAATAAAATAAAATAAATAAATAAAATAAAAAAATAAATAAAATAAAAAAATAAATATAATATTAATAAAACAGTAAATTTGGTTTAATAAGTTCATAATTAAAGTTAAATTTTTACTGAAATATTTTTCAAGGAAGAATTTATCTACTTGGAGAAAATTAAATTGGACTCTAATTGATAATCTCGAAAACATAATTATGTATGTTAATAGAAAATGAAAATTGCCATTTATCCATAATGTCAATTTACTATGGTCATAATATGAGTCTTTATTGCTATTTATGATAATTTGCGACAGTTTAAAATGTGATAATGTATTAAGAGAAAAAGGAAAAAAAAAATTAATCGCTCACAATAATTCGTCACCACAATGTACTTATTAAATCACCGCCATAAACGACTCTAGGTAAGTGCGGTGACCCCTCGATTTAACTTAACCGTTTCTCCATCTTCCGGTTTCCGTTCTCGTGTCACTAACACGTGACGTTTATGACATTTCAACCTTTCGCTCAATTTTCCTCTTCATCTAAATTTAAAACCCTCTGTTATTTTATTATTACATACTGGAAATTTTATTTAAATTTTGTACTTTCAGTTTTTTTTGTTATTTCAAAATGTCTTTTCTAATTTATTTTTCTCCCTTTTTGTTTTGACTGTTTTATTTATCTTTTATAATTGTTTCATTTTTTTTCATTCTGTTTTATTTTTGCAATTTTGATCCATTTTGTTTTATCTTTAATGCAAATTGGTTATATTTTGTTTCAATTTTTGTTTTACTTTTGTAACATTTTATCAACAATTTGCGCGCTTTAGCGCGCGGCTAACTTTTTACTTAATTTTTTAAATAAAATTATCAATTTTAAAAATAATAGAATTTAAAAATTTTAAATTCAATTTTTTGTTGAAAATACTAAAATAATTCAATTTTGGAGAAATTGCAAATAATTTATTGCAGAAATTCAATTATTTTCAAAAGTAATAAAATTCTTCCCATAAAATTCAATTATGTTTAAAATTAAAAAAAAATTCTCGTCAAAATCCCAATTATCTTTGTAAATAACAAAATTTTTCCCCAAAGTTCAATTATTTTCAAAAATGACAGTAAAATTCTTGTCCTAATTTCAATTATTGTCAATATCTACTATTTTAATAAAATTTTCCGAATTTAATTATTTAAAAAAAAAATTAATAAAATTGTACAGAAACATTTAATTATTTTCAAAAATAATAAAAATTCCACAGGAATTCAATTATTTACAATTTTTTATAAATTTCTTTGCAATAATTCAATTATTTTTGATAAATTTTTAATTATTATAAATTATTATAAAAAATAAAGAAATCGATCACTCCGAGTCTTCGACTCGGAGCAATCAGTCTTCATGTTTTATAGCAAAATACTTTTATAAGTTGTTTAATTTCAAAAAGGTTTGAATTGGGAATTTTTGAATATCTTAATTCGTGTGGAAAAATAATAATCAGTAAATATTTATTTGAAAAATAAATTATTGATGTTTTTGAATAATTTTACAATTAAAGAAATTCGTAAAAATTTAACGGAACATTTTTTTTGAGTAAAATTTTTCCCTTTACTTTCTAAAAATTCAAAAATTTTCAATTTCAATAAAATCGACATATGAAAGAATTTTAATTTAATAATTGAAAAAAATTGAATTTTACAAACAATTTTACATGAAATCGATTATTTTTAGAATTTTAATTTTATAAATTGAAAAGAAATTGAATTTTTTAAAGAATTTTCCAAAAAATTGAGTTTTAAAAGAATTTTAATTTCATAATTGAAAAATAATTGAATTTAACGAATAATTTTCTTAAAAAATTGAATTTTCAAAGTATTTTAATTGTATTAAAATTTCCAAAAACTTTTTTTCTGAAAAATTGATTTTTCAATGAATTTTAATTTAACAATTGAGAAATAATTGAATTTTAGAAAAAAATGTTCAATAAAATCGACTTTTGAAAGCATTTTAATCTAATAATTGAAAAAAATTGAATTTTACAAACAACTTTACATAAAATCGATTTTTTATAGAATTTTAATTTAATAAATTTAAAAAATAATTGAATTTTTTAAGGATTTTCCAAAAAATTGAGTCTTGAAAGATTTTCAATTTCATAATTGAAAAATAATTGAATTTAACGAATAATTTTCTTAAAAACTCGATTTTTTGAAGAATTTTAATTTAATAGTTAAGAAATAATTGAAATATTCCAAAAAATTTTTCTGAAAAATTTATTTTTTAATGAATTTTAATTAAATAATTAAAAAATAATTTAATTTAAAAAAAAAATTCACAAAAAGTCGATTTTTGTAAACATTTTAATATAATGATTGAAAAATAATAGAATTTTAGAACAAAATTTTCAATAAAATCAATATTTGAAAGAATTTTAATTTCATAATTGAAAAATAATTGAATTTAATAAATAATTTTCTGAAAAAATCGATTTTTTGAAGAATTTTAATTTAATAGTTGAGAAATAATTGAAATTTCCCAAAATTAATTTCAAAAGTTTGAATTTTGTTCCAATTTACTTTTTTTTGTTTTATTTTTATTGTATTTTGTTTTAATTTTCTTCCAATTTGTTTTGTTTGTTTCAATTTTGTTTTATTTTGATTATAATTTGTTTTGTTTATTTCATTTTTGTTCCTTTTATTAATTTAATAATTTATTAAATAATTAATTAATTTATTTTTGTTGCAATTTGTTTTGTTGTTGTTTCAATTTGTTTCGTTTATTTTATTGATGTTCCATTTTATTTCATTCTCCATCCATATTGTTATATTTTTATTACATTTTTTTGTATTTGTTTGTTTTACTTTGTTTCAATTTTGTTTTATTTTTGTTTTAATTTGTTTTATTTGTTTTATTTTGTTTTAATTTTGATCCATTTTGTTTTGTTTTATCTTTGTTGCAAATTGGTTTTATTTTGTTTCAATTTTTGTTTTATTTTTGTAACATTTTATTATATTTTTTTGTTTCAATTTACTTTTTTTGTTTTATTTTTATTGTATTTTGTTTTAATTTTGTTCCAATTTGTTTTGTTTGTTTCAATTTTGTTTTATTTTGGTTCCAATTTGTTTTGTTTATATTTCATTCTTGTTCCATGTTGTTTTGTTTTTGTGTTTTATTTTTGTTACAATTTGTTTTGTTGTTGTTTCAATTTGTTTGGTTTCTTTCATTTTTGTTTCACTTTGTTTTATTTTTGTTGCCATTTTTTTATTATTCTGTTTTATTATGTTTTAATTGTGTTTCAATTTGTTTAATTTGTTTTACCGTTTTTTACATTTCGTTTCAGTTCCTGTGTGTCTGTCCCATTTTTTTTTTTAATTGTATTTCTTTGTTCTACTATTATCCTTTCGAAAACGTATATAATGCAATAACTGAAAGTATAAATACACATTAACAATCCATAAATAACATTAAAGCAAAAATGAAATTATACACGGTCGCATCAAACGTGAAATATTTTCTTTTTTACAAAACTGATATTATGCGCTTTCACTTATAAACACAAAAAAAAACAAAAAAAAAACAAAAAAAAACAGAAAAATAATTGATAAATATATGTTTCAGACTCGGGGAGACGCCGCCTCATTGGTGCGCATTTATCTGGGTCCAATTTACGGTGAAGATGTGCTCGACCTTTTAACGAGACAAGCTCGGGATATTTTGGTGTGTGCATATCATGGAAATCTCGAGAACTTTGTCAAGAGTTACCTGTCACCTGCAGCCAATCTACTCGAGGAAGTGAAGCGGATTGCAGCCGAAAGGGTGAGTAAAGGCAATATAATTAAAAATCAAATTTACAAAAACAAAATAAAAAAATGAAAAGGAGACAAAAATTCGTCACTGTGGAAAAAATATTGTATTTTTAATTTTTTAATAAGAATTTTGCGTGGCAATGCTTGGATTTTTTTGGGCGCCAATTTTGGCCCAGGAATGAAAATGTGATCGAGAGGGAAAAATAGTATCAAAAGGAAATTAATTTTTACATTCGTAATCTAGGCCCAATATTGTTTAAAAATAATAAAACTCTTCTCCGAAATTCAATTATTTTCAAAAATTTTAATAAAATTCTTGACTAAGTTTCAATCATATTTCCAAGCTTGGCGCAATATTGGCAAATACAATTCGCTTCAATATTCAGCAAATCCCATACAATTCTTCCAATTTCCGACCAGATAATTAGTTAATGAAGTTAATGAAAGTTAATAAAGATAAAAAGTACTTATTTCATTTGTGCCCCTTTCTGTCTTACAATGAAAGCCTAATGGGACAAAAACACAATAATAAATGGAAGGGAACAAAGAAATCGTATAATATATTGAAAAAATACAAGTGACTTTTATTATTTGTGTATGTGTGTGTGGTCACGGTACGGGAAAAGCGTATGCGTTACGCTTTAAGGCACAAAAGGTTAAGTGATTTGCAAAGTTTTTCTTTTTTTTTTTTTTTATTTCATTTCATTTAGTGATTCTGTTTTGGTTTGTGAGCGCATATAACAGAAAATCCACAACCTGAACATACGCGCTTAATGCGCCTCGGAATTGTTAGAAGTGTAGATGGAACTGATAGGTAAACGTATTTAAGAGTCACGGCTTTTACAAAAGAGGCGTGTCATATAGGAAGAGGGAAGATATATTGCCACTATTCTAATTTATTTTTATTTTTTTTCTTCTTGTCGTCATTTTTTACTTTCTCGTCTTGTGAAAAGTGTAAAGAAAGTAGGAAGAGAGAATATTGTCTATTCGCATTTTCATATTTCATATTTCTCAAACAGTTTTAAGTCACGCTTGTAAAAATATTTTTCCATTTCATCAAGAGAGGGAAAAGACTTTTTCCTTTTTTTGAATTCTACTCCCCCTTTTTCTCTTTGTAGGACCCTTTCTCCTGTTTTATACAAACAGTTAGCACTTGATTCATCTGACAATGAAAGTAAAGGGGGGGAAAAAAAATAAATGAGCAAAAAAAAAAGAAAAGTCTCAACTTTCGATTGTTTGTGTCTTCCTTTTTCTTTCTTTCAATTTTTTTTTTTTATGTTTGTGTTTGTTTTTTTCTTTGTCAAACTGAAACTTCAGTCGGGACAATTCTTGTCGCGATTAAAAGCGAAGGAGAACCACCCATCCACCCACAAGGGTAATAAATCTTGATGTGCCTCGAAAAAGGCAATGCGAAATACTTATATACGCGTCATGCCGCGCATTCGCGACATTTTGGCAGATATAGGGCACTGAGCGCGACATCTTCGATGGAAAGCGGAGCACACACACACACACATTGCAGCATTCGTTTTATATTTATATGTGTATTTCGCATATAGACATGTGCACATGTAGAAATATACACATGTAGATATATGCACATATAGATTTTCTTAATTCAATTTTAAAAGAGTTGCCTTTACAATTTTTCTTCGCAATAATTCAACTATTTTCAAAAATAATCAAATTTTTTTACAGAGATTCAATTATTTTCATAAATAATCAAATTTTTCACAGAGATTCAATTATTTTCATAAATAATCAAATTTTTATACAGAAATTCAATTATTTTCATAAATAATAAAAAAATTTATAGATTTACAATTATTTACATAAATAATAAAATTCATCGCAAAATTTCAATTATTTTTAATACAATTTTTATGGAATTTCTCGAAAAATGTATAATTCTTAAAAATTTTATTAAAATTCATCTAAGAAATTCAATTATTTTAAAAATCCTTCCTATAATTTATTTATTAGAATATAAGTCTTATTTTCAATACATTTTTAAATTGAATTTCTTCAAAAAAATTGAATTATTTTCATAAATAATTCAATTCTTTGTAACAATAAAATTTTTTTCAAAATAATTTTAATTTAATTCTTCGTAGAAATTTCATTAATTTCTATAATTTATCAAAATTCAATTATTTTCAATATCTAATATTTCAATAAAATTTCACAAAAGAATTCAAGTATTTAAAAAAAATATTTAATAAAATTCTACGCAAACATTTAATTATTTTCAAAAGTAATAAAATTCTTTGCAGAAATTCAATTATTTTTTAAATTTTTTAAAAAAAATTCTCCACAATAATTCAATTTTTGAAAAAAAATTAATAAACTTCCCAAGAATTCAATTATTTTTAGAAATAATAAAATTCTTCGCAGGAATTCAATTAGTTCTTAAAAATTTTAATAAAATTCTCTTCAAAAATTTAATTATTTTCACAAATTTTTCGTTATTAAATGATATTTAAAACTTACTGTTTTAATTAAAAATTTACCAATAGAATTCAATAATTTTAAAAAAATTTTTGTAAAATTCTTCGCAAACATTCAATTATTTTCATAAATTAAAAAAATTTCAGAGGAATTCAATTATTTAAAACAGAATTTTCCTAATATTTTCCAAAAAAAATCAATTATTTAAATAGATTTTTTATAAAATTCTTCGCAAGAATTCAATTATTTTTAAATAAATATTCAAACTCATCGCAGGATTTCAATTATTTTTGATACAATTTTAAATGAATTCCGCGAAAAATGAAACTATTCTGAAAAATTTTAATTAAATTCTTTAAAAGAATTTAATTATTTTAAAAAATGTTATTAATTATTTTAAAAAATGTTATTGACATTTTTTATAATAATTGAATTATTTTCTATATAATTTTAATAAAATTTTTTGAAAGAATTCAATTATTTTCATAAATTTTAATAAAATTCTCTTAATTCAATTTTAAAAGAGTTTCCTTTACAATTTTTCTTCGCAATAATTCAATTATTTTCATAAATAATAAAACTCATCGCAAAATTTCAATTATTTTTAATACAATTTTAATGGAATTTCTCGAAAAATGTATAATTATTCTTAAAAATTTTATTACAATTCATCAAAGAAATTCAATTATTTTCAAAAGTAATAAAATTCTTCGCAAAGATTCAATTATGGTCAAAAGTTAAAAAAATTTATCGTCAAAATTTCCAATTATCGTTATAGATATTAAAATTTTTCTCCAAAATTCAATTATTTTCCAAAAAATTTTAATGAAATTCTTTTTAACGAATTCAATTTTATTTCAAAAATTCTCCTCCAGTCAATGATTTTCAATATCTATTTTAAAAAAAAATTTCCCAAAAAAAAGAATTTTTTTATAAATTTCTTCGCAATAATTCTATTATTTGCAAAAGTATTAAATTTATGTTTAAACAGAGATTCAATTATTTTTATAAATATGTAATACAATTTTTTACAGGGATTCAATTATTATTTTCATTGATAATAAAACTCATTGCAGAATTTCAATTATTTTTGATACAATTTTAATCGAATTCCTCGAAAAATGTAATTATACTTCAAATTTTATTAAAATTCGTCAAAAGAATTCAATTATTTAAAAATTTGTTAATAAAATTCTTTATGAGAATTCAATTTTGAGAAACATTCAATTATTCAATAAATTATTTATTTTTGTATTAAAAATAATTAGGTATTTAAAAAGAAATATTATTAAAAAATTCTTCTCAAGAATTCAATTATTTTCAAAAGTACTAAAATTCTTAGCAGAAATTCAATTATGGTTAAAAGTTTAATAAAAGTTATAGTCAAAATTTCAATTATTTTTATAAATATTAAAATTTTTCTCTAAAATTCAATTATTTTTAAAAATTTTAATAAAATTCTTGGCAATATTTCAATTATTGAAAAAAATTTTAATAAAATTCTTGACAAAATTTCAATTATTTTACTTTTCTCAATTCAATGAAATTCTTTTACAGAGATTCAATTATTTTTAATACATTTTTAACCTAATTTCTCGAAAAATTAAATTGTTCTTAAAAATTTTATTGAAATTCGTTAAAAGAATTTTAATTACCTATTTAAAAATTTGTTGATAAAATTCTTTAAATGAGAGTTGAATTTTAAAGAACATTCAATTCTTCACTAATTATTTTTTTTTTGTATTTAAATAATTGAATTGTCGTAGAATTTTCTAATAATTGATTGAAATATGAATTTCAGTTAAAACTTTATATAGATAATAATTGAGTTTTGAAAAGGTTTCAAATTATAATCTTTGAATGTTTGATTTTTTTATACTTTTAACTTAAAATTGTGTAGATTTAATTTTTTTGTAAAAGTTGAATTGAATTTTTTTGAAGTTATTTCAAGTTTTTATTTTCTAATATATATTTGATTGAAGAATTTCCGAATACCTGAATAATCGATGAAATTTCGTAAAATTGAATTGTAAACAAAAGGATTTGAAAATGTTGAAAGAAATTTTTCAGAAATTATTAATAATAATTAATTTCCACTTTATGAAGAAGAATTTTAGTGGAAAATTCTGGAAAACAATAATTGAATTAAAATAATGAAAGTAATTTTGAATAAGTTACAGTAACAATATTCTTATGATAGGTATAAAATAATGATTTCATCAGTCCAACATTTTTAATTATTATAAAACATAAAGATATCGATTGCTCCGAGTCGAAGACTCGGAGTGATCGATATTTTCATGTTTTATAACAATTTTTTTATAAGTTGTTTTATTTCAAAAAGGTTAGAATTAAAAATTTTGTAAAATATAAATAGTTTTAAAAATCTGGAAAAATTTTGTTTTTTAACCTGGAAAACCTGGAAAAGTCAGGGAGCACATATAGAAATATTCACATATAGACATACACATATGCACATATACACATATAAATATACACATATACATATATAAATATACACATATTCACATGTACACTATATATATACACAAAAATATATTT